GATTTTCTAGTAAAAATATTCTCACGAAGTTTTTACTACGCTTGAGCACAATTCAGGCAAGATATTTCAGTTTAATCGTCACTAGTTTTAAATCAAATGATTGACATAACCTCGCGGAGTGTTAATTATTTATTTATTTCTTAGTGTAAAAATATAATTGTATTAGCAATAAGTAATTATTCTTTAGAGAAATACGTATGAACCTGAGATTTTATTGTAATGATATATCAAGTGAATTCAACGATTCCCAACTCTTTTTAAATATAAACTTTTCAGAAGAAATTTGTCTTAATTTATAATTTCAAACACACCTCTCTTCAATTTGGTTTTCTCAAATAGTAGTCAAAATATTACAAGTCTGTAGCTTAGATTGTCCAATCTCTGTGGGACGATATCATAAACTATACTAGAATTTGACAGAGTACGAGCAGAAAATCCTATACACATAAGCTTCGTCATAGTTGTTGTAGAACTTGCTGGATAGGTCGCTACGCTCCCTCTATCGCAGGGAGACACATGCCACACATGTCTTTCTCTCTTTAAGTAACTTATAGGGAGTTTTCTCAACAAAAGGTCTAGTTGTACACCTATTTATGATGTAGCATGCAGTATTCACAGCTTCTGCTCAGAAACTATGAGGCAACTTATTAGCAAGTAACATGGTCCTAGCTATTTCTTCCAAAGTCCTATTCTTTCTTTCAACTACTCCATTTTGTTGTGGAGTTCTAGGAGCAAAACAATTATGATCTATGCCTCAGAAAATTTAGCTTTCTCAAACTTAGTGCCATGATCAGACCTAATTGATGCAAGTTGATTACCTAGTTGTTTTTGAGTTTTTCTAACAAATGAAGTGAACATGTCAAATGCTTCATCTTTAGATGTTAAAAATAGTGTCCTAGTAAACCTAGCTTAATCATCAACAAGCACCATAATATATCTCTTACCACCTCTGCTCATTGTCCTCATTGGTCCATACAGATTCATATGGACCAGTTCCATCGACCTGGTAGTACTTACCATTTTCTTACTTTTGAAAGAGGATCTTACATGCTTCCTCCTTGCACAAGCCTCACAAACTTTGTCTTCCTTGAAATTAATGTTAGGGAGCCCTATCACTAAGTCCTTGGAGACTAGTTTATTGAGTTGACTTAGACTTGCATGCCCAAGTCTCTTATGCCAAAGGAGGGGATCACTATCCATGACACTCAAGCAAGTGAGCTCATTATCTGAGAGTATGGATAGATCCACCACATATATGTTGTTCACTATTTTTCCCTGTAAAACTATTTTGTCAATGGTAAAAGTTATCACAAATCATTTTGTAGAGGTGAAGGTCAGTTGTGATATACTTATCAAGTTGTATTTCAGTCCATCTATCAGGCAAGGGCGGCTCTAAAGGCTTGGGCTGTGAGGCCATCGCCTTAGGCCCCCAAAATTTGAAGGCCCCAAATTTATTTTAAATTCTTATTATTATTATTATTATATATTATATGAATTATATAAATAATTAGTATAAAGAAAAGTGCTACAGTATATTTTTTTGTTATTTTATATCAATAAATTCATAAATGATGATAATTTTCTTTACTAATTGATTAGTATATTTGCTTCAATCTTCAATTTTAATTTTATCCTTTTTATATAGGAATTAAGTTATATATATTGACAACATAACAAATTTCTTTTACAATGTTCTCTCAAATTGCACGAACACAAAAGTATTCATGCACCGGTTTTCTTTTAGTGTAATTCGGCATATTATATTAGGTTATTTATAATTTATTTTAGATACTCACCAATAAGTGCTACTTATAGAATAAACTACAATTATTGTTTAAATTGATCATAAGGAGTAAATATTTTTGACACCCTTAATGCTCAAAACTTAAGCAATTACGTTATGTACGTTTATTTCTTTTTCTTGTTTGTGATGAAAGCCAAATCAAAATTTGTGGACCTCAAAATCCGATAGTCCACCACTTTATTTTTTGTGCTCTTCTTCCTTTTTTTTTTTTTTTTTCTGATTCGCTTATTTTTGTCTTGAATGATTAATTTATTGTTTAGAAAGTATATTTTATTGTTAGTGTAAATATTTTATAAAATAAATTTAAGGGCCTCTCAATATGGTTTCGCCTTAGGCCACGAGATTCATTGAGTCGCCCCTACTATCAGGTATATATTCTCAATTGAGTGAGAATCATATTTTCCTACCTTCCCAACTCCAATGATCTCACCTTTCTTTTCATTTCCAAATGAGACATTACCTTCCTTAAAGGCCGCAAGTGAAAGGAACCGATTCTTATTCCATGTCATGTGCTTTGAGCAACCCCCTATCCATGTATCATATTTGGCTGCTCTCCTTTACTTGGACCTGCAAAAAAAGAATCAGGGGTTAGCCTTAGGAACCTAAACTAGTTTGGGTCCCTTTCTATAGGCAAAGGGATAAATCAAATTCTTCTTAGCCCAACTTGGCAGCCTATTCTTCCCTAAAACAAAATTTTTGTTCCTTGGACTTGCTTTTTTTTTTTGCTATACATTCACTCTTATAGTGTCCAATATTACCACAGTGAGCACAAATCTTATTCTCAGAAAGTGTTAGGTACTTATTTTTAGGATCTCATTTAGGTGCAGAGTTCCCAAAGCCAAGTCCCTTTCTATTGCTACTATAGTGTTCTTGTAGCCATAAAAATGCATCGAAGGACCTGTTCCATTTGCCTATTCTATCAAGCCCATGTTTAACCTTAGTCAATTCCTCTTTCAAAAATCTTACCAGTTCATCCATTTTTATAGCTCATCTTTTACCTTTCCAAAATCTTCTTCTAGTGTGAGTTTTGTGACACTAGATATTTCTTTACTTGTTACTAACTTCAATTTCAGATTTTCAGATATAAGTTCTAAGATAGCTATGTAAAGTTAGCAACAATTCTGGTAGTCTATCTTTAGAAAGGAATTTAATTTTTTCCTTGAGGTCCAGAAAACTTATCTTAGATTATTCATCAAGTTCATCTATAGATTCTCCAGTTGCCATAAGAGCTCATTCACCACTATCATCATCGGTGTCCTCATCTGAACTATCTTTCCAAGTAGCAACCATTGCTTTGGATGGCATTTTTTTGTTGTTCTTCTTGTCATGAACCTGTTCCTTCTTCCGGTTCCTTCTTTCGTATTTCTCCTCTTTCTACTCGACTTTCCACATAGGACAGTTCTTGATCATGTGGTCATGTTACCACATTTGGAACATCCATCAGTCACTTGCACGTGATTTCTTATCCTCTCCTTCCACCAAGAATAGTAGTGACCACTGAATAGTGGTGGATTTCCCTTTACAGTTTTTATATCGTGCACTCATCTTGATCTTTTCCTAAGGTCTTAGCCTCTTCAAGGATAACCTGCTTTGATACCAATTAATATTTTATATTTCAATACCACACAAGAGGGAGGGGTGCGATTTGTGTGGTATCCAATTTTCGTGCGCACTGGATTATAGAAGGACCACGTTTTTCTATGCGTTCCTCAATCTACTGTTGCAAAATAAGTAATGCAGAAAGTAAAGAACACAAGTATTTTTATGTGGAAAATACCCTGCTCAAAAGGTGAAAAAACCACGACCTACTTCGCAGTAGGATTTTTCCAACACTTCACTACAACTCTGAGCCAAACAACAATGTTTATAAACCTTTTGCAAACCTAAGGATTAAACTCTAACCCTTGTAGCAACGAGCCACAGGCTATTGCGAGTGCTTCAAGTTAACTCTAACTTGAACAATACAACTCAAGTTTACAACCTCTTGCAAACTTAAGGATTAACTCTAACCCTTGTAGCAACACGCCACAGGCTGTTGCGACTACTTCAAATTAACTCTAACTGAATGATACAACTTAGATACCTAGTACAATTTGCTTCTAAGAAAGCTGATAGGTACAACTCAAAACACCTACTATACTTTGAACTAGAAATAAAGAAAGACACATAAAACTCTTAGTAGAACTGGTTCTTCAATCTGGTTCGTGTAGCTTCAGGATCGCACTCTTGAATCTCACAGGAATTGCTCCCAAAATGCCTTGCTATTTTGCTCTCAATTCTGCTTTTACTTTAGTACGTGCGCATCGGCTGTAAAATAGAACGACACCGATATATGTAGAGTTAGTCGAATAAGGATTAACTAGAGGTCTAATGCTTTACTCTTCCTTGATGAAAGAGTTCTTGTCAACTTCAACTTCTAATTCTTTCCTTATTTTGGATAGAATTCTCTTCAAGTAAGGAGTCCTGCTCCATATTAAATATGCAAATCTTTTCGTTCAGTGATTGTCAGAAATAACCACGTTTACTTATCCCTTGCACGTGCACGCCTTTTGCTTAAATTTGACCGTAACATGTGTACAGTGTCCATGAACCTGATTCATGCATGTGTTCCTTTGTCAATCATCAAAACTAAAACCGCTCAGGTCAACAAGTAAAATAAAAATATTTTGGCATAAGTTTTTGAGTCACGTTATGATATACAAATCACATATAAATTACAAAGTACTTTTTGAAGTGTGAGTCTGTATCCAGCTTATATTGTTCCAAGCTTTCAATGATGAGCCGATTAAACTTTGGCATGGCATTTACTAAGTTAAAACATGAAGGTGCTGAGATCAAGAGGTCTCAGGTTAAATTTCTAGTGAGGTGCGAGTTTGTGTCAAATTGATACGTTGGTATTCTCATACTAGTGTGCGATAAAGGACATCAATTTGCACCACCGTTAGTTTCATGTAAATATTATGAGTATATATCTTCTATTACTTGATACCAAAAATAGAATTATGCAGTGTTTCAATTGTTTAATTTTTATTTTCAACAGATTAATTAGGATTTAATTTTTATTATAACATGAATACTTCCTAACAAGTTAGCAAATTTCACCTCTCCGTAAAACTTTGCCACCCACAAAACCATTACAAGTAAAATAAGAGACCCTACTTCCTTTGCGTCTTTGTCTCCTTCTTTTATCCTTCATTTTTCATTTCCTTTTCATGCAATCCTCTTCTTCCTCTTCCTCCTTCTGGTTTTTTCCTCTCGAAATCCCGATACCTACTTGCAGAGGCAAATATGTAATTGAATATATATTACTATATATACATAGGTATATACCCCCTTTATATATTCAATTACATCTGCATTTTTATCTTTCATTCTTTTTTATCATTTCCAAGAATCTCTCTTTTTAGTTACCCATATAGCACACACAATTACGTAACCCAACAAATTCCCATATAGCAAACACAATTAGGTTTGATCTTTTATTGTTTTCTCAATATTTTGTTCATTGTTAATTTACATGAATCTAGTTTTACGCAGACTCAAAATAGTGAATTTAACCAAGGTTTGGATACTTTTGGTATTATAGGGCCTTTGCTTTTCAGCCAAGCAGATTCATAGCATGAGGGTCCATCCTATGTCCATGAAACGAAACATTGCTATTCGTGAAGGTATTTATCCGGGTTCAAGTTCGGGTTCCGGGTCTGGTTCGGATCAGCGGGAACAACTTTTGGCGGTAATGGAAGGAAACCCAACGAAGAAGCTACGGAAACTGCCGCACGTATTCGGGAAGGTTCTAGAACTTCCGTTCCGTTCCGATGCTGACGTGGCGGTGGAGGAAGGGCCGGAATTCTTCCGTTTCGTGGCGGAGATGGAATTTGACGATGGTGGAGAGAGCGGAGGCGCCGGAGCGGGAGGCGGCGTGAGGGTGCAGGCGGTGGAGATTCATCCTGGGATTACGAAGATCGTGGTGAGAAATGGTACGGGAGATGGCGGTGCCGGCGTCATCTCCGGCGGCGAAGACGAGTTGTTGTTGGAAGAGCTGAAGGTGGACACGTGGAGGTTCAGGTTGCCGGCGACGACAAAACCGGAGCTGGCCACGGCGGTGTTCGTGGATGGTGAGTTGATTGTGACGGTGCCAAAAGTTGATCGTGGCGGTGGAGATTTTGCCGACGGTAGGAACGTTTGGGGTGGCGGTGGCCGGGTTGTTCTTGTACAGTAGCCAGAAAATAAAAGAAAAAGAGACATTAATAAGATTTTTATTCTCCAAAAATAATACTAATAATAAATTGTTGTACATTATGGTTGACTCGGGAACTTTATTCTCCATGTATGAATACTACTAATATTCTATCATTTGATTTTATTTTTTACTATTTTCTCGTTTTTAAGTCGTCTTCCCTCTCTCCATTTTAGTTGATTCTCCATTCCCAGCTTAACCTGATTTTTGTTTTAAGAGAAGAGTGTAAAATACGAATCAATTTAATAACTCTTGAAAAAAAAACACATGTGATATCATATTTGTTTTTGTATTATAGTTTATGCGGAAAAGGGCAAAATTGTTCCTGAACTAGTGCCTTAGGGTCAAATTTATCTTTCGTCCACCTATAGGTCCAAAAATGCCCTCGACGTTAACATTTTTCTCATTTATGCCCTTATGACTAGCCGTTGAACTCCCAAATAAAAATAATATTTATTTAATTATGACGTGGCAACTTCCTATTGGCTCTGCTTAAAACGCCTATCTCAAATCCATTTAATAACTCACCTTTGATACTTCTGACCAGGTTCAGGAACTCCTTACCATGAGAGCCTCTTGAGGAAGGTGTGTTCTGACTTTTTGCTCACATGGTGCGGGACCAATTGCTAACAAACGCTCAACCATACTGAATTTTCCATCGTGTAAACATGGAGCAATATTTTCTTGATACAGAACTACAAATTCATTGAGCCACATATTTCCTTTGGTTCCATTAGCAACAAGGTCACGTGAATGCAGTACCAACCAGCGTCGCCTAGAGCATTAAGATCGGGCTTCACACAAATGTCATTCTTTAGAAACTCCAGGTTAGCAAGAAAAGTAAAAGTGACATATGTGTTTATTAATAAAACAACCATCTTCATTGATCTATACCGGAAGGTTAAGTCCATACTTGGATTAAAGCGTAAAGACAAATTGGTAGGAAAAGAGCAGCATGATCATAAACCTTTGTTTGGATTCTCAGAACTCCATTCAAGTATCAATATTTGCATCAATTCAACAGAAAATACTAAAAGATTGTAAGTTTATGGAATATGCCACAAAGATATTAAAACAACGCATTGTCATCCTACCAGTGACACCCCAAATAAGGATCAGCCAGAAGAGACCTTGATTTTCTCGGTAATATTGTGGAATTTTCCGAGCGGGTTAATGTTTGGGTCATGAGTGGGTTATTAAATGGAGCTCGGGTGGGGTTTTAAGCAGAGCCAATAGGAAGTTGCCATGTCATAATTAAATAAATATTATTTTTATTTGGGAGTTGACTGTTAGTCATAAAGGCATAAGTGAGCAAAAAAGTTAACTTTAGAGGTATTTTTGGACCGATAGGTGGAAGGAGGATAAATGTGACCCTAAGGCAATAGTTCAGGGGCAGTTTTGGTTCTTTTCCTCAGTTTATATAATACAGTTGTATTAAAAATCGTGAAGGTGCATTCTAAGTACTCGTTACATATAGGACTTTATTATTTGCAAATATTGTACTCCAATATTTCGATAATGATTTGACCATTAGTATTTATTGAATTTAAGTATTTGAAATATTGAAATATTGAAAAAAATATTTCAAGAGTATTTCAAGTAAAATAATGATTTTCATTCATATGTCTTCAATTTTGTCCAAGTGAAATTCATGTCCAACGCCTAAATTTTCATTTAAAAGAAGTGAATATTCCTTCCGCTCACTTTTACTTGTCCACAATGGACGTTGCACTTCTCCTAAAAAACTAACAAAATAAAGTATATTTTTTACCATAATACCAATAATAACGATAGCATTTCAAAAAATCTTACAAAATAATTTGGGAATAAGTAATTAATGATAAGGGTAAAACAAGAAAAAATTATTTTTCTCTTGAACTACTAAAATGGACAAGTAAGTCAGGATTTATATTTGGAAAATGATGAAGAAAGGACTAAACATTGAATTCCTCTATTCAATTCTACCCTTAATTAATTTGGCCTTGCCTAAGGACTAAGCAGTGAATTCTTCTATTCAATTCTACCCTTAATTAATTTGCCCTTGCCTAGCAGTAATTCCTATTTATTCAAGTACAATCTGTTATCTGTTCTTCCTCAGGATGGATTGTAGTAGCTCTTCCATTGATCTAATGCTAAAATGTTACCCCACAAAATACATTACAAGTTTCTGCCTTACATATAATTTCTGACTAGTGCCTTTCTTTCGACAGAAATTAATATTTTGTTAAATCAGTTAACTTATTCATTTTATGATCTTCTACTCTAACTTTGAAAGATGAAGATAAATCTGATTTTATGGAAATGTTAACATATGGACTAATAGTAATGTCCTCTATCTGAAAAAAAAATATACATGGCCTAACAGTAGTGCAAACTGTTACAAAGAAATAACTCTTGAGGCTCGGAACAAAATTTTGGCATAACATGGCCAGGGCGTATTTGTTGTATACAAAGGGCAGAGCTTGCTTAAGACGATTCTGTTTCTAGACAAAAGTAATCCTTGAGTATTTGCTTCGAAGTTCTTCCAAATCCATTTTGCACTTGTTTCATGTCCTTGAGTTTCGAAATTTCTCGTTTTATTTGGTCTACTCTTTTCAGGACAACATCAAGTAAGGTATCTGTTTCAACCATTGATGTACGGCTTGATAGATCTGATCTTTCCTTGTCAAGCTGCTCATAGAGATTCATGATATAGTTCTTTTGAGCAAAGAGCTTTTCCTCAGCAAGTCTGTACTCAAATTCTTGAGACTTCCTCAATGCCTGCAGTGTTTGATCAATCTCATCCTCAAGCTTAAGGGATTCGATGCGATGGTCAAAAGTTGAAGTCATCTTTTGTGGTGAAGATCTTTCGCTAAGAATTGACTCTCCATGGTATGTAGACACACATGTTCCTGTGTCATGCTGAGATGTTCCTCCTACCATCAAAAGAAATTTACATACGTGGAAGCTTTAAAGAGATCTTAACAGTGAATGCAGCTTTGCAAGGAGGAGAGATATTTGAACAGAAAGCTCTTGAACATAGTTACTAAGTCGACTAAATGCTCTTACAATGAAAAGATAAATCTCAGCATACACAAACATCAACAAGAGATACAAAAAAGAAAAGAGTTCATATAAATTAAGATGACAATATGTTTCATATATCTCAAAACTCGTTCAGTACATTGTGACGGAAAATAAGCCTTGATAGTACCAACTCATGACTCCAAAACGATGAGTTATGCACATCGTTCATACTATAAAATGGGTAATTTGTAGATGGACTAAAAGCAAATAAAGAAGGAACCAAAGAGTAACTAGCTTAGTGTAGTTAAAAAGACATGTAAAGCTGAAGCTAGGTGTGTAGGATGGACGTTTTGTCTTCAATCAGGTAGCATTTTGGTGCAAGCACCGAAGCGCTCAAGCGTACACTACATGATGAATATAACTGGAAACGGGATTTATTAATAAGAAGACAATATGAATGAATATATTAGTCATAAATATTAGGAATAGACTTATTTAGTATAAGAAAATAATCGCTGAATCTGACTGAGGTAAGACATTCAATGATTTGAAATAGAAATTAAAACTGAATATTTGCATTGAATCTAGAAATCAGCTCCGTAAGAAGCCCCCGTCTTTTAAGATCTAAAACATCCTAAATGACATCAGTAACCAAACATGGAATGAACTGACAAAGGATTCTGAAAGTCATATAGACAGTTTAAGTACTGACCTAGGATTCTGAAAATACCAAAGAGAGAAAATCCAGTGAACGTGACCTACTGCCAACATCATTAAGGCATGATTGCACTTCATGCTCAACAACAGGAGCACAAGAGCAATAAACGATACGAGCACGGCTAGGGGTTCCCGCCAAACATCATGCCAAGAGAGCATTGGATGCCATAGAAGGTCTTAAGTAAAGACCAAGTCTGTTTGAGGAAGGATTTGTAGATGGCAGAATTTGCAAAGGTTGTGCGACCGCACTATAAGAAACCAACCTCATAGCAATTCAGAATTCAGGATGTGCTGAATTTGTGAAGGTTGTATGATGACTGCACACTGTGCCCACAACCACATGCACCAGGGTACGGATTTAGGAGTTCATTGGACCGCATATTTAATTCGTGAAGGTTGTATGACCGCACACCATGCCCTCAACCACACACACCAGGTCCGGATTTAGGAGTTCATTGTTTTAAGGCTCATTTCAGGTATTAACCTAATGGGCTTGTTTGCTCAGTTATCCTAGACTATAAATAGGTGTTAAGTGTTTACAGCTTAAAAAGGAGACAACTAAAGATTATTAATGAATATTGAGTCCTGAAGCTTTACCAAGAAATATCACGTAGTGAGTTGAAAGACTACAACGTCCCCGTGGAAGTGGGGAGGAGTTGGAGTGAAAGACCTTAGGGTGTTCAATAAACTTTACTTGATAAATGGTTATGGAAATTTGGGATAGAGGAACATGCTTTTTGGAGGAGGTGGTTGCAAAAAAGTATGGTAACATTTATTGTTTTTTTTTTTTGGGGGGGGGG